AGCCTGGTCCGCACGACAAAAACTTTTAAATAATTTAAAAAATATTTTTTAAAAAAAAAGTAAAGTAATGAGTTAATATAATAGATGTTTGATATAATAACTATACTGAGGAAATGAAAGAACAACTTATATAAAACATATGTTTTGTTTGATATTGCTACTTCGTATAGAGTACAAAGTATTATTTATTTCTATATCATTATCAATGTGTGATACGTAGAAAATAATATGGAGAATATAATAAAGATGTATTCATTTTATTTAATATACTTATAATTCATTTTTTTCTCCATAGAATTATGTATATGTGTTTATAATAGTTTGAAATAGTATTGTTCTTTATTATTATTATCAATGTAGATATTGTTATTTTATTATAATTAAACTAATAATAAATATTTTAGTTCATTCAGGCCGCCACAGCCCGTGGGCTTGAGGATAAAAGCCGAGCCTGACCCTAAAATATTCGGGCAACCATTTATAAGGCCCAAGCCCGACCCATACCCTAAAATAAAATGTCAAGCCCAAGCCCATTATTTTACAGGTGGGCTTTTGCGGACGGGCCAGATACCTGGGCCCATGATCGGGTCTAGTAAACACCAACATTTCCCTCAATTGGCTGCGGATTAGCCTAACCATGCATCGATGATTATTGGATCATTCTATAAATTTTTAGACTTCCTAAATTAAACATCAACACATAACGCGCAAAGCCTTAGAGTCCTATTACCTTTGTAGGGAGAGGAGTTGCAAGAGATGTGAATGCAGCTTTTGAAAATCATTCAATTGTGGTCCATAGATAAATTTTCAAATGATATCCTCAAAACCAAAATCTAACACTCTAAGTCCATAACCAGAATACAAGAGCAGTGAGTCAGATGCTACCATATTTGTATCCAAACATCACATTTTCCAAATAAATTAAAATCCATATAATTTATGTTTAAAAAATTGTTTAATGTTTTAAGCAGACTTTTAAAAAATAGTGTGTAAACTTGAGTAAATAATCCAAAACACAAGTCTGAGTTCATACCCAAAAATGTAATAAGTTGAACTAGATTGTTAGTCGGTTTAGACGTTGTGCCCACGCCTTAGAGGGGGGTGAATAAGGCGTTTAAAATCTTTTCGGAGTTTGATAAAAACGGTGTTGGCAAATGCGGAAGCAATAACTAAAATGCAGAAATAAAAGCGTAAATAAAATGCACACCGATTTTATACTGGTTCGGGAAACCCCTACTCCAGTACCTCGAGGCTCCTCCTCAAGGATTTCCGAATCCACTAAGTCTCGGCCTCTTGAACTCCGTCAAAGCACCGCACTAGTTTTTGGCAAACAACCCTTGCCAATAGGATTCACTCCGAGATTTCACAACGGCTATCTCGAACCGTTTACAATGAAGATTTAACGACTATCTTCTACCGTTCTCCCAAGGATTTCAAAGGCTATCCTTGAACCTTTACCCAAGGATTTTTAAGGCTATCCTTAACCGTTACAACGTGAGAATTTAACGGCTATTCTCGACCGTAAGAAGGTGTGTTTGAAGAACACGAACAAAGGTTCTACACAACGGCTTGAATATAAAAATGAAGAACAAAACTTAGCCGGTGTAGAAGGAAGGTATACTCTCTCAAAAATACAATTCAAACTTATGAATATGAGAGTATATAACTAGAAACACAAGCTCAAAGTGTGTGTAAAAAAATCAGGAATTTAAGGCTCTTAAAATAGCCAAAATATTGAAAATAATTAATAAAAGGATGAACACACTTAGAATAAAAAGAGAGGATGTTTAGAGCTCTGTTTCTTGAAGAAATATGAAGGATTATGCTTGTATTTATAGTGGAAGATGTTAATTAGCCGTTGGGAGGTGATTAGGATTGATTTAATTCAAATTGGCAATTTTGCTACAGTGTTGTAACGGATCCGGTACCCTTCACGGTAGGGGGGTCCGTGTCATCCGGTACCTAGGTACCGTGTAGGCCAAAATAAGTTTTCGCCTCTGGCGGTACCGGGTTAGGACGGGGTGGCCTACCGTCTGTGCCTACCGTACGGTATCTGGGTACCGTGTAGGCGGTATACCCTACCGTTTGGGGTACCGCTAGGGGTACCGTGCCACTGTCCTGCTTTTTCCAAAATTCCCGTAATCCTTCGCGTTTGAGTTTAAAACCTTTTGGATATTTTGAAAATGTTTATGGGATGGTTTTAAACATATTTTGTGAGTGCTTTTGAGCTTGTGAATATAGGTATATAAAGTCATATCCTTACATTGGTTTCTACCTATATTCTACGCTAGTTTAGTGTTTCGATTTCATACTTGAGTACCGAATCTTAATGGATTCTTGTTGTACCTGAAACACTTAAACAAACGTCAAACTCTTATATTGTTTGTTAACATCAAAACATGAGACTTAGCAAACCAAGGCTAACATAGATAATTAAAATTAAACCTCAAAATCATCAACTACATGTAAGACCTCTGGTGCTACCAGCTCTTCTATACCCAATTGGTGTTAGAAGAGATGCATACCCTAGTCTTATAGTGCATTCAGCACACAAGCATACACCGCATTTGATTGTGACTTGGCCCACATAGCCTCCGCCATGGGATAATTGATGCACACATGGTCAAAAGTACACATGCACACATCTCATCATCCTCTATGCCCGTATCTAGATTTATCATATAACACCTCGACCCACGTAACCCGAATAAATTGGTCATCGAACCAAATTGCTACTAGATTTGTAACGCCCCAAAATATGCCCTAAAAGTTATATTGAATTATTATTCAAATAAACAAATTGTTCGATTAAAATAAATTGTTGTTAGGCTTTGAGCCGAAATAAAATATATGCTGATATCCAATATCATAATCTGGATAAATCTCATAGAGATGAATCCCATATGTTGATTTATTGTGTGACCTTGATTGAGAACCTGAGTACAGACCCAAATCAAGAATAAATCAAGAAAGACTTGTAATGTAAATATTGAAATGAATTATTAAAATAAATCATGGGAATAAATGATATGAATTAAATGAGAGAACCTTTTTGAATAAAGGTCAATTAAATCAATTTTGGACATCAAACTTTTATATTTCCGCTGCCCTATCCAAGCGTAGTTCCTAACAAGAAGGACCTCCTTGTCACTCGGGGAGCCTTGAGCAATGTTCACTTTCTTATCATTCGGGCATTGATTCCTAAAATGCCCTACCTCCTTGCACTTCCAGCACGTTACGCCTGAGATGTCACGAGTCTTCGACTGACTCCTTTATCTATTCTTGCTTTCACTACCTCTGCTATTTCTTCTGCCTCTGCCAACATGTAACAATTCATCAAATGGCTCCCCAAAACTCTTTCTTCTGACGTCCTCGCCAAGAACGAGATCACGAATCTGATCGAAAGTAAATCCATTGGGTCCCACTAAACCAGTAACCGCTGTAACCGTTCCGGACCAACTACTTGGCAAAGACAATAACAGTAGCAAAGCTTGAACTTCATCATTGAACTTAATCCGCACTGACATAAGTCCGGTTTAGATCGAATTCAACTTATTGATATGCTCAATAAATGAAGTGCCTCATTTCATTCTTTTGTTCACCAGCTCTCTAATCAGAAAAACCTTGTTCGTTGCAGATGGCTTCTCGTACATGTTAGACAACGTTTCCATAATTCCTTTCGCTGTCTTCTCGTTCAGAATATCGAACGCAGCATTCTTGGAATTTTGGGTTAAATAGGCATTTAAGTGGTTATTTATTCATAAAGATGTTGCATCTCTCGTTGACCAAGAGAAAAATAATATTTTCCATTTCTTTCTCTATTCAAGATTTTCGATAAAACAATTCCAAAAAAACTATCACAATTCGAAATGAGACTTTAATTTAATTTTGGAGAAGAGAGAATAAATATATTCAAATGGGAGGGATATCTTTCTCAAGATCTCATTGGTATTCTCCAATCCCTTCATTTTATTTTTACGAACGTTTGACCTATTGAATTATGGTATAATAATGACACAATCGATTAGAAACGGACACAAATGTTTTAAGAACACAACAACAACATCGATCAATTGCCACATCGTAATAAATAATTTTAAATTGCAGAATTGCATCGTTATAGAGGCGCACATGGGCTGTACATGAGAGAAAAAAGAGAAAACAGATTTTTGTGTAGGTTAGGTTCGGGCAGCGGAAAGGGTGGGGGAAGGGAAGGGGTGCTCATAGGTTGGCCTGAACCCGCCCGATTTAACCCGTTTGTGGGTTGTAGGGCCGTGTTTGTTTTTCAGCTTTTATGACTATATTTTTTTTTTGTCCTTTTCTCTTTGCCCTCTTTTCCTTTCTCCTCCCCTTGTATTTATTCCCCTCCCCCCTCTCTATCTCCTCCCTCAACCCATTCATTTTCTCATCAACCACTCACACATTCACATCTCTCTCTCTCTCAATTTGCCCATCATATCCCTTAGCTTCTCTTTGAGAAAAAAGAAAAGAACAAAAAAAAAGAAAGGAAAGCTTGTTTTGATTGAGGGGAATGTTGTCTGGCTCGAGGCCGCCAATTAGATCCGAATTGAACCCGTGTTCGTTTTCGTGATCTTGCGTTGGTTGCGTCGGACCAGGCTTCATTCCCCCCAATTACGCCTTCCTTTTGGATATCGTTCATACATGGCTTCTTTTATTTCCCAATCTTTACCAGATCAGGGAAGTGTGATTTTTTTTCTTCTTTGTTTCAGTAAATTTTATGAATAATTATTTTATTTTGTTTGAATTCTTTTTAAAGGATGTGGGCGGTGGACAAGTGCAGATTGGTGTAATGATGATGAGCAGATCTTTGACTTTTTTTTTATTTAACTTTCTCGTCACTGAAATACAGAAAAAAAGGGGTAAGAGTTTCATCATTACTCTCGTGAACCACCCATGCCAGTTACACTTAATTTTCGGAATATTTTTTTTTATTTGTAACAATTAATTATTTATTTTGTTTTTTAAAAAAATCTTTTTAGAGAAACAAAAAAAAGAAATATGAGTAATTATTTTGTTATGATTACTGTCTGTCATGATGGTTTGCAGGAACATATAATTGTGTCCTTTTCGAGTGGTTAGTTTTCCTTTGCGTCTTTTATACTTGCCCTTTCTTTCTTTCTTGTTTAGGGTTTTGCTTTCTCATCATAACCCCAGAATTATATTCATTGCTTCCTGAACAAATCTTCTTTGATTTCTCGAAAAGAAAAAAGAGAGTACAGATTTGGGCAATTGAAATGCTTTTTAATTTTGGGTGTTAGATCTATCTATGATTGATCTTTTTCTTGAAATTTCAGATCTGAAAATTTCTTTTCTTGAATCTGAACTAATAATGTTGCAAGGATGAATTGGACACAGGTACGAGGATGCTGGGGGGCCGAATTGAACCGTATTTTAAATTTCGGGTAGTTTGAGGATCAAATGAAGAGAATCTGATACCTTTCTAATGGTGTGGCCGGTGCAGGAAAGCAAAGCTTTAGCATCTGCTGGCAAAGCAAAATATATTATTAAAAAAAAAGTTTCTTGATTGTATAATAATTTCATTATAATTCAATGTAATTGTACGGTTTGTTTATGGAAAAGCTGTACTCCTTCCGTGTTGTAGTCCTTTCCTTCACTAAAATAGATCTTATTTTAACTGCAAAAAAATTTGCATTAGATATGACTAAAATATAAATCAATCTCCAATCTAAGACTTCAATTTTTTATTCTAGTGAGAGAAATAATATTTAGTAATGGTAAACATCTAGTTGAATAATGACTAATGGGTAATAACTAATAGTTTTATATTGAGAAATAAAAATATATGATCACATATTGAGAAAATCATTATGTTTTAGTCCTATTCAGATAAATTTTACTTTTTACTAATGGGAGAAATAAATAGTATTCCTTCCGTTTCAAAGTATTTATCTGCTTTTAACTTTTTTTATAACAATTGGTAATTTTGACTTTAAATTAAATAAAAATGATATTAGATATTAATAGAAAAATACTTCTATTAGATTTATCATACCAAATATTTTCAAAATATTTTTTTATCTAATAAATATATAATATATATTTTATTTAATTATAAGTCAAAAGTTTAAAATAATTGACGGGAAAAAGTTAAAGTTAGACAAATACTCAACGGTCGAGGCAGTATATATTTGTAGTTAACTTTCTAATTTTACTCTTGATGTGATGAGTACAAGTAAGATATAATAGGTAAATTATTAATGAAAAAAATATAATGTGATAGGTAAGGTAAAAAAAATAGGGATAAACGTGATTTTTTTAAAAAAAAAGTTAGAAGGGTCTGGAGAAAGAAGAAAAATGAAAATGAAAGAGTTTTGATAAATAGAACTACTTCCTCCGTTCCTAAATAAACTTTCCTTATTGACTTTTTGAGGAATTAAGAGATGAATATTTTGGTGTTGACTTTCCAAAAATATCCTTGATGTGATGGATAAAAGTAGGATATGATGGGTAGATTATTAGTAAAAAGGTATGATGTGATAGGTAGGGTATGAAAAAGTAAGGGGTAATAGTGGTTTTTTAAGGAAAAAGAGAAATTTTTTTAGGGACAAAGAAAAAACGAAAGGAGAAGTTTATTTGGGGACGAAGAGAGTAGTATATATTACCAGGACTAAATGAATTTATGAGTTCTTTAATTTTTTTATACTCCCACAATCTTTAAGTACACTAATGTTTTCATTTTGATTTTGTGGTCAAAATTTACAAATTTTGACATTAACGTTTTACGCTGGATACGCTTTTTTGTGATTATTTTAGCATGGTGAATTAATTTGTAAGACGCATACATGTATTCCCCTTTTGTTTTGTTTTCTCGTATGTATATAAATATTGATTTATTTATTTGTATAAATGATATAGCAAGAAAAAAATTCACAAAATTTGTTTTTCTCAAGAAACATACAAAAAATATTAATTCGCATAACTTTTTTATATCACTGTTGAGTGTTACTTCAAAGTCCCACATCGGTGGGATAGGAAAATTGAGGAGGAATTGGAGCATATAAATAAAGAGGAGATATAGGCTTCCATCACACAACACAATCCTTCAATCTATATAATTGTATATTAGATTTTAGGTTGTGAGTGTCAAATATTGGAGAGAGTCTGTAATTTTTCCGTGCAAAAATTACTAGTGAGATTTTATCCCAGAGGGGGTCGTGGAGTAGGTCTTGAGGTGCCGAATCACGTTAAAAATTTGTGTGCTCTCTTTTTTTCTTTCCATTTATTTGTAGTGGGGGCCTAGCAAGTGGTATCGGAGCCAAGGTGCAGAGCTCGGATGATCTGGTAATTATAATTCTTAGTATGCTCTGTGGTTGCAGCTTTGACTGATCTTCCACATCAGAAAAGAATTATTAATTACAGAGTTGCAGTCTAGGGAGGAAGAAGAAAAAGCAAGGAGCAAGAGGAGGGCGTGCCACTTCAGTGGAGGAGGTGGTGGTCCAGTCAGCAGAGGTGGGTCTGTGAGTGCCACGTCAGGAGTCTGTGAGTCCGAGTGCCAGGTCATCATCCAGTCAGCGCCACATCAGTAGGTCCAGTCATCGTGTGGGTCCCGCTGGTGACTTTCGAAGAGAAGTTGGTTCTGACTAATTTTGACGTCCTGATTCCATTTTTGAGGCCAGTTTCCTCAAATTTGGATTGTTTGGTATTGGTTGATTGTTGCTTGAGTGGAACTATGACTACCTTGAAGTTTGAAGTTCCGTTATTTGATGGAAGAGGGGACTTCATGTTGTGGCAATGCACGATTCAAGACTATTTGGTCCAACAAGGTCTTGAATTAGCATTGCAAGATGAGAAGCCAAGTGATATGAAAGAATCAGAGTGGAGTACAATCCAGAAGAAGGCTGTCAGCACAATTCGGTTGGCACTGTCCCCACAGATTAAAGTGACAGTGCTAAAAGAGACATCACCAAAGAAGTTGTGGGAAACGTTAGAGAGCAAGTTTGCATCAAAGACACTTACTAACTGGTTGATGATGAGGATGGACTTGTACTCACTGAAGATGGAAGAGGGAGGTAGCGTAATTGATCACATCAACAAGTTTAATGAGCAAGTATCAAGGCTGTTAAATGCAGGGGAGACTATCAAGGATGAAGAGCAAGGGCTTCTTCTACTGGCTTCACTACCAAAATCCTTTAAGCCGTTTGTGCAGTCAATGATAGCAGGAAGGACTACACTGCGACTAGATGAGGTGACGACTGCCTTGAAGGAGAGTCAAAGGATGATGGGAGGTGAAGAGTCTTCCGGGGACAGTCATTTACTAGCTGTTGTGAGTGTTGAGAAAGGGAGGAAGAAGAAGAGTGACCACCTTGGGAGAAGATCTCAGCTGAGAGACATGAGCACTCTTAGGTGCTATTACTGTGAAAAGTTGGGTCACACGAAGAACGGTTGTCCAGAACTCAAGGAGGACTTGCAGATCCTAAAGGAGAAGAAGGGCAAATCGAAGGAAGCTTCTTTCGCAAATGTGATCACTTATGAAGATGATCTCCTCTGAAGATAAGAGTACTGCTGGACAGAAGATTCTGCAGGATGGGAGTATCGCTGCAGAAATCGCAAATGATGTAGGACTTTGAATTAAGGGGAGATTTGTTGAGTGTTACTTCAAAGTCCCACATTGGTGGGATAGGAAAATTGAGGAGGGATTGGAGCCTATAAATAAAGAGGAGATATAGGCTTCCATCACATAACACAATCCTTCAATCTATATAATTGTGTATTAGATTTTAGGTTGTGAGTGTCAAATATTGGAGAGGGTTTGTAATTTTTCCGTGCAAAAATTACTAGTGAGATTTTATCCCAGAGGGGGTCGTGGAGTAGGTCTTGAGGTGCCGAACCACGTTAAAAATTTGTGTGCTCTCTTTTTTTCTTTCCATTTATTTGTAGTGGGGGCCTAACAATCACCTCATAGGGTTTGTAAACTAAAATGTTACTTTTTAAATGTTAGTCTAGTTTTTTTAAACGGTTTATTTAAGAATTTATTAAAGATGTTGGTAAAAAAAACTTGAATTATTTTTATGGGTTAACAAATTAAAGTTATTTAGAGTTATAGTTGATTAAAAGTTTGATGTATAACGGCTCAAACTGTTTTAAATTGTCCAAATCACGAAATAAATGGGATGATTTTAGACAACATCATCTTCAGGCTGGTTCTGACTCGTTTAAAATTATATTTGTAAAAATATGTGTAGAATACCTTCAAAAATATGTATTTCCTTATTCTAATGCTATATAGTTTAATTACCTTTTGTTATTTTTACAAAAAAATGTAATTTAAATATGAATACATTTGTTATGTCAAAAGCCACTCATCACATAAAAATTATAGAACTTTTTTTGAATAATACAAAAAAATTATATATCTAGTATAAAAAAAGATTATGAGAACAAAGTGTGTGGTTCAAGTGTAATCCAAACATTTGAAGCCACAAACTTTTATTTTTGTTTTTTCCTTAGAGAACAAAGTGTGTGGTTCAAATGTTTGGGGTACACTTGGGGATCCCTAGGATTTTTCAAAGATTATTTATACTCCGTATAAAATTAGCAGAGCGATTCTTTTGATACTAGGATGTGGTGTCATAATATAACACCGCGAAATTTAAGCCCCATACATCCTACGAAATTCGTTGTTCGACCTCGAAAGAGTTCTTATTCCATTGCCCAACACTACTTCATTAATTGCACCCCTAAGTTTAGTTGACGTTCTGGTCTAGGGTGATGTGTTTTTCAGCAATGAACCTAATTTTGTTTTTAAAAATTGCATCCCGGCACCATAAACTAAACTGTCCTAGATTTTAGAAAAATGGCCTCCCGCATGTGCGCCTCTTGTGGAATGTAAAACCAGAGTTTTTGACCCCACACGGTCCAGGGTGTATCCATTAAAAGTTTGAAGTGAACCAAGAAATACTTCTATGCAAAGATTGAAATGCAATTTAATCTATTTAAGGTTTAGATTTTGAATAATTTTTTAATGGTGTGTGTTAATTTAAAAAAAAAAAAACTCTTAAGCCAAACACTGTAATCGAAGATTGAAAAAAAATACTGTAATCGAATTGTTTTTTCAAAATGCTGAAGCTGTTGCTATAAAAACTCTTCTATACATAAACAAATATTTGTAACAGAACACTTTTTTTTGTTAAAGCGGAAGGGGCTTTCTTTTTTGATTAGATATGCCATTCTTTGTGTGTGTGTGTTTGGGATACATGAATGCCAGTTAGTTCATGCTTTTGGAAAGGTGTCATGTGATTTTCATTGCACCTGAAGAAAGGTCAGAAAATAATGTTCCAAAGGTGTGAACCGAATCTCAAGACTTGTGTGTTAGAAGCAACCCTTGCTCGCTTACTCCCACTTCACATTGCGAATATTAGCTTTAACTAATACAAAGGTTATTCTTTGGCAATGCAAACACACATACATAGGGTTAAGTTGGGAAAACTGGAAATCGTAAATCAAATCGAAACTGATATAAAGGAGCTAGAAAGAACCGAATCGAAAAAATCGAAATTGAATATTGAAAAAAAATGAACGATTAATATTTGGTTTCTGTTTTGATTTTCACTCCTGAAAAACCGAACCAAACTAAAACTCTTACCTCCTATGCTTTCAAAACTTACGTCATTGCCTCCTGTGCCAGTGCCCCTCTTGACTAAAATACGCTTCAAATATTAAATGAATAGATCCGTTGCCCCTTTTAATTTTTAAAATATGCACCAATGCCCTCCTTTTTTTCTTTATTATCTTTTTTTTTCTTAAAGAGAGAAAAAGTATTATGTTTGAAATAATGATAATGTTGTTTTTAAAAATGTTTTAAAAAATAATAATTGTTGGTGTTTGAAAAAAAAATATTTAAAATATACTCCATCCGTCCCAAAAAGAATGGGACGGTTTGACTTTTTGGGAAATTAAGGGAGGGATATTTTGGTATTGACTTTCCAAAAATACCCTTGATGTGATGGATAAAAGTAGGATGTGATGGGTAGATTATTAGAATAAAGGTATGATGTGATAGGTAGGGTATGAAAAAGTAAGGGGTAAAAGTGGTTTTTTAAAAAGAACTTTAAAAAAGTAGTATCATTACGTAGTATCAAAATAGTTTTAAAAAGAACTTTAAAACATTTATGAAAAAGTTTTAAAAAAGATCTTTAAAAATATTGATGAAAAAATAGAAGAAGAAATAAAAATAATAAAGAAAAATAGGAGAGGGGATGTTGGTGCCCATTTCTCAAACTATAAGGGGCAGCAGCGCTATTCATTTAATATTTGAAAGAAATTTTAGTCTAGAGAGGCATTGGCGTATGAATTTTAAAACCATAGAGGGAACAATGTAATTTTTGAAAACATAGGGGGTAACAATGCATATTTATCAAACCGCATGACATATTGGAGCAATAAACTCTCTTTATTTTATGTATATGAATATATGTGATATGCGAATCCAAATATCTCATCACCCAATTAAAGTTATTTTGCCTTAACTACTGAACATTTTAAACTATATACTCCCTCTGTTCCACAAAACTCTTCCCCTTTCGTTTTTTTGCTTTCCACAAAACACTTCCACTTTCTATTAAAAAACCACTTTTACCCCTACTTTTTCATACCCTACCTATCACATCATATTTTTTTACTAATAAACAAACTATCACATCTTATTTTTTTCCCATCACATCAGGGGCAAAATTGGAAAGTCAACCAAAATTACACTTTCCTTATTTTTCCCCAAAGTCAAAATGGAAATGATTTTGTGGAACGGAGGGAGTATAATATAACCTTTAAAAAACTTAAGAATATAAATATCAATGATTAATCCTAATACGAAGTTATATTAGCATTAAAAATTGGTATGAGCAATTTACATTTTTACATGAAAAACTTTGATGTTATAATGAAAATGAAAGTATTATAGCAAAAATGAAAATACGTAGCGATTGATATTTACATACGAAGACTTTGGTAGCATTTGGAATATCTTACACGATACCACTTGTAGGACCTCAGGCGCTACCAACTCTTCTAATAAAAATAATTGTTCGAAAAATTTTCACATTAACGTTTTGCTAATGACAATGTTTGTTTCCGTTTAGGTTTTGATATTCACAAACTGTCGGGAACAGGGAACAAAAAGAAAAGATTCAAAGGCATAGCAAAAGTTCTTTAAAGGAACAAAAAGTGTTAGCCTTGGTTTGCTAAGCCTCATGTTTTGATGTTAACAAACAATATAAGAGCCTAACGTTTGTTTAAGTGTTTCAGGAAAAACAAGAATCCATTAAGATTCGGTACTCAAGAATGAAGTCGAAACACTAAACTAGCGTAGAATATAGGTAGAAACCAATGTGAGGAAATGACTTTATATACCTATATTCACAAGCTCAAAAGCACTCACAAAATATGTTTAAAACCATCCCATAAACATCTTCAAACATCTAAAAGGTTTAAAACTCAAACACGAAGGATTACGAGAATTTTGGAAAAATCAGGATAGTGGCACGGTACCCCAAACGGTAGGGTATACCGCCTACACGGTACCCCCATACCGTGTAATGGTACCTGGGTACCGATGGTAGGCGTAGACGGTTGGCCCAAATGGTAGGCTATACCGTGGTCACGGTACGTAGGTACCGGACGGTACTGACCCTACCGTGAAGGGTACCGGATCCGTTGTAATCACTGTAGCAAATTGCCAATTTAAATTCAAATCACCCCTAATCACCTCCAAACGGCTAATTAACATCTTCCACTATAAATACAAGCTTAATCCTTCATATTTCTTAAAGAAACAAAGCTCTAAGCATCCTCTTTTTTTATTCTAAGTGTGTTCATCCTTTTATTAATTATTTTCAATATTTTGGCTATTTTAAGAGCCTTAAATTCTTGATTTTTAAACACACACTTTGAGCTTGTGTTTCTAGTTATATACTCTCATATTCATAAGTTTGAATTATATTTTTGAGAGAGTATATTTTCCTTCTACACCGGCTAAGTTTTGTTTTTCATTTTAATATTCTAGCCGTTGTGTAGAATCTACTTTTGTGTTCTTCAAACACACCTTCTTACGGTCGAGAATAGCCATTAAATTCTCACGTTGTAACGGTTAAGGATAGACGTAGAAATCCTTGGGTAAAGGTTCAAGGATAGCCTTTGAAATCCTTGGGGGAACGGTAGAAGATAGCCGTTAAATCTTCATTGTAAATGGTTCGAGATAGACGTTGTGAAATCTCGGAGTGAAATCCTTTGAAATCCTATTGGAAAGGGTTGTTTGCCAAAACTAGTGCGGTGCTTTGACGAAGTTCAAGAGGCCGGTACTTAGTGGATTCGGAAATTCTTGAGGAGGAGCCTCGAGGTACTGGAGTAGGGAGTTCCCGAACCAGTATAAATTCGGTGTGCATTTTACTTTACGCTTTTATCTCTGCGTTTTATATATTGCTTCCGCATTTGCCAACACCGTTTTTATCAAACTCCGAAAAGATTTTAAATGCCTTATTCACCCCCCCTCTAAGGCGTGGGCACAACGTCTAAACCGACTAACAAAAAGTATAAAAAAGGCATTGACGTTGCAAAAGTTCTTTAGAGGAACAAAAAGCATAAGAAAGGCGTTGACATTTCTAAAGATAACGACATTGACGTTTTGAAGACGTTGTATAAAGACTTAGGTTTTATTGTAAGAAGCCCAATTCGATTTCTCGAAGTCTAAATGTTGGGTTTGTGGAGGCTTGGGCTTGACTTTTTTGGCCCAGCCCATGTTACGAAACCCTAGATGCACTCTTCCTATATATATTGCATACTTGTACTTGTAATCGACACCACAAGTGAAATAAGAAATTCCTCCTGTTGCAGCCGTGGATTAGGGAAACCGAACCACGTTAAATTCTTGTGTGTCGTTTGTGTTCCGTTTCTCTCGTTTCTCGCTGATTATTTGTGTGTGTTGTGTGTTTAATTCCCAACAACTGGTATCAGAGCTAGATTATTCAACAGGGGCACAAATTGCGAGAAAATTGTCGCCTAGGGTTTTTCAGATCTGTGCGTGCTGAGCCGCCGCCGGGTTGAGGAGTCGCCTCCTGTCGTCAAGGAATCACCGTCGCCGCCGCTGGTTGGAGGAAATTGTCAATCGGTGTTCTTCCAGATCAGATCGGGCAGGAGCATCGGCGCTGCAGAAGTTGAAGCTTCCATCGCTCAGCCGCGAGCCGTCACCGTCGATCCAGATTTGCCGCTGCCGCGTCGAGCTCTCAGATCGCATCCATTAGCTCAGGCAGGTGCAGCGGGCAGTAGGTGTCGCTGCCGCCCAGTCGAGAGCCTCCATCGTCCAGCGCGCAGAGTTCACCACCGCGAGCATGTGTCGTCCGACTGCTCGCCGAGCCACCGCTGAAGTCCAGTGTTGGTTGCCGTCTAAATTGCACAGCCGCCAGAAGTGAAAAAAAGGGGTTTTCCTTGGCTGGACCGAAGAAAAGAAAAAAAAAAGAAAAAGTGAGTGGGCCGGGCAGTGGGCCAAATTAAGTATCATTTGGTCAGCCCCCATCCTTTTTTCCTTGTTTTTTGGTTTGATTGGGCTTTATTTGGAGAGATTTGGGCCTCTTTGATTTGGATTGGTGAGAAGTGTTCTTGTTCCTATTTTTCTGATGAAAAAATACCAAGATCTGAAATTAGTTGTACTGGGTATCTCCTTTAGTCGTTTGAGATGGCAGAAGACGGGAAGTTCCAAATTGAGAAGTTCGATGGTACAGATTTCAGTTGGTGGAAGATGCAAATTGAAGATTTGCTCGTTCAGAAAGATTTGGACGTGGTTTTGGGTGACAAGCCAGAAAAGATGTCGGATGCAGATTGGGCAAGTTTGGATCGGAAAGCAATGTCCGTGATTCGTCTCTCGTTAACCAAGAATGTTGCGTTCAACATTCTGAAGGATAGGACAACGAAGGGAATTATGGAAGCGTTGTCTAACATGTACGAGAAGCCATCTGCAGCGAACAAAGTTTTTCTGATCAGAGAGCTGGTGAACACAAGGATGAGAGAAGGCACTTCAGTTACCGAGCATATCAACAAGTTGAATTCGATCTTAGCCAGACTTTTGTCAGTGGGCATTAAGTTCAATGATGAAGTTCAAGCTTTGCTACTGTTATCGTCTTTCACTGATAGTTGGTCGGGAACGGTTACAGCGGTTACCGGTTCAGTGGGACCCGATGGATTCACCTTTGATCAGATTCGAGATCTCGTTCTTGGCGAGGATGTTAGAAGAAAGAGTTCGGGGGAGTCATCTGGTGAATTGCTTCATGTTGGTAGAGGCAGAAGAAATAGCAGAGGTAGTGGGAGCACGAACAGACGAAGAAGTCAGTCGAAGACTCGGGATAGCTCAGGTGTAACGTGCTGGAAGTGCAAGGAAGTGGGGCATTTTAGGAATCAATGTCCGAATGATAAGAAAGTAAACATTGCTCAAGGCTCTGCGAGTGACGAGGATGTCGCTCTGACTTGCTGTGAGGAAAGCAATGTGGATTCTTGGGTCATGGATTCTGGTGCTTCATTTCATGCCACCCACAGCGGTGAAGCATTGCAGAATCTGGTTATTAGAGACTTTGTAAAGGTACGACTAGCGGACGACAGAGCTCTTGATGTGACGGGCATGGGTGACATAGTGCTGAAGACCCCAGTCAGTTTCTGGACTTTGAAGGATGTCAAAGTTGTTCCAGCCTTGAAGAAAAGTTTGATTTCTGTCAGGCATTTGGTCGAACAGGGACACGAGGTGAAGTTCAGAGATGGGCAGTGGAAGGTCGTGAAGGAAATCTTGTCATGGCCCGTGGAAGGAAGAGAGGTTCGTTGTATATGGTCGAGTTACCATCTGAGGGAGTGACCGTCCCAGTTCAGAAGAAAAACGAAGTCCGGTTCACAGAGTCTCGTGGGCAGAATAAGGTTGTCTGTGCAAGAGAGAAACCTAGAGCCGCTGGTCAGACTCAGGATGAACGAGCGTGGAAAGGTTCAAGGGGGCCAGTCAGAGGTATTTGTGGCAGTGGGAGCTCAAGAGGAGCTTCAGCCAAGTTTCCTAGAAGACAGTGGGTCAGGAGAACCAGTATTCCAGTTGTTGGAACATCTCCAGAAAATTTCTTGCTGAGTATGGAGAGTGTTTGTTCTCAGGATGTTCCAGGATCCGGCAGTGTGCGTTTGCAGTGGGAGCCGGTAGGGACCGAGGATGAGTCAGGGGCTGATTTTGCCGTGACTGATGTGTTGGAGCTTGGGAGAGCTTCAACGGGCCTTTCAGTTGTCTGATGATAGGGCCGCTGCAACAGGAGAGCTGAGGAAGATTACTCGATGTACAGGGAATCGTGGTGGATGGCAGTTGATGACTATCAAGCCTCCAAGTGGGAGAATGTTGGGTTTGTGGAGGCTTGGGCTTGACTTTTTTGGCCCAGACCATGTTACGAAACCCTAGATGCACTCTTCCTATATATATTGCATACTTGTACTTGTAATCGACACCACAAGTGAAATAAGAAATTCTTCCTGTTGCAGCCGTGGATTAGGGAAACCGAACCACATTAAATTCTTGCGTGTCGTTTGTGTTCCATTTCTCTCGTTTCTCGCAGATTATTTGTGTGTGTTGTGTGTTTAATTCCCAACACTAAGCTCAAAAACAATATGGATTTACATGTAATTCACTTATGAAAACATAGAAATGTGGGTTCGCCTTGCCCAAATTAATAACCCATTTTTAAATCGATAAGTAAAAAAGGCGTTTAAGGTTTCACATGTAATTCACTTGATTAATTTCCACTTTTAACCATATTTGAACATTCAGAAGTATTTATAGAATTTACTTTTCCTCGGTGTGGGCATTGCTCTCTATGAGGAGACATCAGACTTTGAATAAGAAGCTTTCTTAATCCACAGAAGAATAAGGTAGTTCCCCAAAACAGATGCTTCCCAACAGTTTGTTTTAATGTTTTTTGGTTTTGAGAGGCCATGCCCCAATTAGATGATTTATATTGACTTTAGTTTTGGCAGTTTATAGTTGTATCTTTAAATGATCAATATCAAATGTTTTTCTTATATAGTTTTGCCTTTCAAAGTCATCACTTAAAATGATACTCTTTTCAGCCATAAAAGTATAACATAGTTCTTTTAAAAGTCCTAAGTCAGTTTTATACAGAAAACATGACCCAACAAACTAAATGATTGGTTGTTTTATAACACAACATTGTACATACCAATAGCTATGAAGTGTACTCACATTTACCAGCATTCATGCCTTACATGGCATTGGCCTTGATATTAAAATTTTACTCCTTCCGTTCTATAAAAGTGTTCCTATTTTGACTTTGTGTAAAAATAAGGAAGTGTTAAATTGTAGTTAACTTCCAATTTTGTCCTTGATGTGATGGATTGAGTATTAGAAAAAAAGTATGGGGAGAAGGACCAAACTAAGAGTAAAAGTCATGCCATATTCTCAAAATAGGAGCTCAAACTTAAAATCCTCTAAATAGGAGTAACTAATTAATTTTTGTCCTCAATTAGTAGTATGTCTCTTCTCACGCTCTCTTCTACCTTCTTTTGTTTATTTTCTTATATTGCATGTGTGTGTATTTATACACTTAGGGGGGCTGGCCTTGGCATTGAGTTATGGTAGGAATTACAATCGATTAGCACTACTACAAAAAAGACTTTTTAAATCGGTTATTTTGACCCTTTTAAATCGGTTTATAACCGATGCAAAAGCCAGCCATGCAAATGCTCAGATAACTTTTTGCATCGGTTGTTAAAACCGATGCAAAAGCTTCTACATTTGCATCGGTTATTACCAAATAACCGATGCAAAAGGTTAGGTGCGCAGACTTTTTTTATTAATAAAAGAAGCAATTGCATCAGTTATTAGGTAACAACCGATGCAATTACTATCAATTGCATCGGTGGTTAACAAAGAACCGATGCAACTTCTCCCTTATTAAAAAAATCTGCATTACGTCGGAACAAATATGCAGCAGCAAGAGGAAAAAGCATTTCTCTAATTCAAAGTAGATTGAAAGTAGCTAGATACGCATTTCAAAAAAATTCTCAAAGCAGATTAGATTCAAAGATCCATGCTTCCAACGAACAAAAGAAAATAACATTTCTCAAATTCAAAAAAAAAATTGAAGAAGAATTACAATTCAAAATTGAAAAAGAATAACAATAATATAGAGTTACAGAGAGCGTCGCATTGTAGGGCTCCACCACCGTGTCAGACACCTTTGGCGACGGAAAAACGGAGAAAGTTAACATCATCCGGTCAGGGTACTCCTCCCTTATCTTCGATATCAACAGCGTCCCCATGCCAGACCGGGTTCCACCACCCAGCGAATGACACACTTGAACCCCTAGAAACACAAACCAAAAAAATTAAACCATCAATTCCGCTGCAATCGCTTCCAGGCACATCAGATCTAGGAACTCTTAAGCAAAAATACTCCATCAAACACAAACAAAAACGAGTTTATGTATATTCGCGCACCTTGGAGGCAATCGGAGTTCTCGGCCTCCTTGCGGANCGTAAAGAGTACGCAGAGGCAAGTGGTGGCTTTTTTTGCATCGGTTAATACGTAGAACCGATGCAAAAGACTCTTGTACCTTTTTTAAAATATTTGGGTTAAAGCTTTTGCATCGGTTTTTAGAAAATAACCGATGTAATTGGTTATTTGCATCGGTTATTATAATAACCGATTCAACAACCGGTTGGCGAAATTATTTATCATTAGAATCGGTTTTTGCGACTCCGATGCAAATGAGGCGATTTTTTTGCCCGATTTTGTACTAGTGTAGGATATTAATTATTTATTATTATTATTATTATATTATAAAATCTTTATATTTATTTATTGAACTCTAACATCTATTTTACTCGTAACTTTTTACACCAAATTCTTAACTTAACAAACTATATGTTGTTTTTTTCCGAGATCAACCCAATTACCTATTTTTTAAATTTAAAGGTTGACTTTACAAATAGTTTCTATTTTCGATTCAGAAAATAAAATAGGACATTATATTTACTCCGTATTTTTTATCAAAATAACGGCTAACTACTAAGCTGGCTAATTTTTTTACCCAAAATTAAAATATTGTCAATAAACGATTCTTTTAACTATATCGTCAAGGGATGACAAAAAAATCACACCCAAAGCTCAGTACCACAGACAAATACGACTATTTCTACATTGCTCCTGAATATTTATATGCCTATCCTAATTACCAACTCAAATATTCTGATTCGACATTCATTGGAAGAGAAAAAAAGTTGATAAACATCACCTTTAAGTGTTGCCTCAGGCCCATAGAGTGTCAAACGAGACCACACTAAATGCCAAAATTCTTAATCAATAAATCTATGAGACCTTATTAATACCTTGTAGATATATGTCAAAATTCTTAAGCAATAAATAGAAACTCAGTAAATTGCTACAGTATGAAAGTTCGTGGGGGCGCAGCGGAAATCACCAATTGAAAACTATGCAAACAAATCAACCAACTATGCTGTAGAGAAGATGTTGCAGCACTGTCACAGTAACAGATGACGGACAGTGTGCTATAACACTTCTCTGTCACAAGCACACACAGAAGCAGATGATGCAGAGGGTGTTACAGCGCCTACTGGGCAGAATGCTGTAACTGTAAAAAGCGTAAAAAAATAACACCAGATATGTTTACGCAGTTCGGAGCAAATTCTCCTAGTCTGCGGGGCCCACGTTTGTGTAATAGCCCTCCACTAAATCACTAGATGCAAGTTACACCGGTACATAACAACATGATGAGATACCCTTCTCCGAATTGCTATGACAAAACTTCTAATCTAGGATTTCTAACCCGAACTCTGTTCAGATCCGCTTCGGCTATCACATCTCCACCGAGATCACGAAGACAAACGTGTTGGCAGCCTCTCCTTAAGCTCTGGTTTATCTTCTCGACATCACGATCTGTTTGGCGTTAAAGATCTCCTCCTTCATGTAGATCGTGACCTTCTTCACGCACGGGAAGCTCCGGGATGCGACGGGAATGCTCTACATCAGCGCATATTCGTTGTTTTCCCTCTCAATCGCTCCAAGTAATTCCCAGGGACCAGCTGCGTTTTTATAGACTCCTCTTAACACAATCCTAGTAGGAATAGGATAGTAGAAGTTGGCTTGAACTCTACTTCATTAATCTTGATCCACAAGTAGCCTAAAGAGTTGGGATTCCTTAGCATGTACAGCTGGAGTTATTATAATGTAATCACAATCCCAATAGGTCTCTAATTCAGATTGCAGCTTAAAATCCCGTGCTCAGACCTCTGATCCCGCACACTGTGTTGCAGCATCGTGCTGTAGCATCTTCTGCGTCAACCTCGAAAACTGCAGCAGCTCTAGAAGTCTAAATAAAATAAACCTCTCCTAACAAATAGAGGTTTCTACCTAGTAAAACATCTAACAAACATGGGATTCTATTTTGCCAAAAGATTAGCCAACACCATGGAGCTAACACAGTACAATGTCTATACAGTGTCAAACAAGATCACATTTAACGCTGCCACACGTAACCGCATAATGACAATCATGTCATTGTATAAAGTCATACATGCAAATGCATAATGCTAAACCAAGAGATAATGTCAAATATGACAATATATAGTGCCACACTTGGCAATGTATAATGACAAATATACCAATGTATAATTTTACGTATAACACATATGTTATGCAAAATCTTAAAAAAGTTAAACATCAAGAAACTCTATTTGCCAACACAATAATCATTTAGTGTCAATATATGTTTTACAAAATAATTTTCTAAGAAGTAAATTCAGATTTAAAATCAAATGTCACAACCTATGTGAAATTGAATATAAAATTGATCTAAATTTTCAAACTCACGCAAGGCTAAAAGAATTAGTACCAATTTTGCAAAATAATTCCCGAATAAGTAAATTTTTAGATTTAAAATTGAATTTAACTACTTATGTCAAATTTAATATCAAATTGAATTCAAACTTACCAAAGAGGACAAAGGTTTCTGAGCGATGAAAAATAGAAATGGTGGAGAGGGGTGGAAGGAGATTGTATGTATGAGAGGAAGGGAGATGATGGAGAGTGCGATGGAATCATTGCCGCATAGAGGAGATGGTAGCGGCGGAGAGGAGATTGAGATTAAATTGACAGCGTCAACAATTGAGATTAGAATGGAGAAGGAGATCATAGAAGGATGGGATTGGGAAGGGGCCGAGTGACTTTTTCGACCGCAAAGGGCTGAGATGTGGTGGGGTTTGTGCAAAAGAAAAAATCAAAACAAAATTTAATTAATTACTCCTATTTAGATGAGTTTAAGTTTGAACTCATATTTTGAGGATATGATATATGTTTACTCCTATTTATTAGGGGGTTTTCTTAAAAGTATGATGTGATAGGTAAAGTATGAAAAAGTAAGGGTAAAAGTGGTTTTTTAATAGAAAGTGGAAGTGTTTTGTTGGAAGTAAAAAAAATGAAAGAGGAAGAGTTTTTGAGAACGGAGAGAGTAAGTAAATTTAAATATGGAAAGAAATCTTTCTTTTTATGATAATATTTTTTCCCAATTTTATTTTTTGAAACAAAACCGTCATATACAAAAGCATTCAAGCCGACTTCATTAAATATCAACTTCGCAGTCCTAGATCAAATAAATTAGAAAAAAAATGCTTTCACTCGCTTGAATGCTTTTGTAAATTTCTATTTAGAATCAAAGGATCACTAATACTTTTTATATTAGTTCAATAAAATTAATGTGGGGGAGAAGAATCTTTAAATTTTTAATTTTTTTTTCAAGTTACTAATTTTTTTTGAATAATATGATTGCTAATCTAAGCTTCTATTTTATGAATCATGCTGGGAGAGACGAATCATATTTTATGAACTATCGGGGAGATGATCGAATCAAATTCTTTCCGCTAATTTAAATTACTTTGGGTGAAAAGAATAATATTCTTGAATCGCAAAATTGTATGAACGGTATCCTATTTTATTTAAGTAATGCAGAGCAGAATAATCATAAGATCGCTAATATTTTTTTATTAACTTTTTCAATTAATAAGAAAGACAAGATTCATATTTTAAATCAATATGAGGGAGGTCTAGGAGGAAAATAATATTAATGCGAGAATCATATTTTAAATCAATAAGAGGGAAGTTAGGGAGGAGAATCATTTTAATGCGATGAAATAGATCAATTTTTTTGCTAATCTAAACTAATGCGTGGGAGAAGAATCACTTTCAAATTTATATATAAGAATTTTCATATTCAAATGTTAAATGCTAAATAATTTTTTTACTTTGATTTTAATATTTTTTTTAGTGCTATTGACTTGATTAGAATATTCATACTTTGATTTTAATGTCCATAATGTTAAAGAAAACATTATCTATATTTTCATAAATTTATTTAAAAATAGTATACTGAAGATAATTTATAAAATCGACCTAAATATTACGTGGATAACTTTAAATTAACCATTCAAATGGCTTCATTGGGGGAGGGGTGGCCGGGGGCCGGGGTAGGGGAGAGAATGAGGGTGGGTGGGGGAAATGAACTCTAGAGGAATTAGAGTACTCGAAGATTGAGTAGGAAATGAACTTTAATCCAAAACAACTGATAGTCATTTTCTCCTCTATGAGAAAATATTTTTCTTAAAAAACTATTTCCTACCACTTATGCAACATAACATAACAAATTCTTGGAATTTTTTGCAAAAATATTTTTCTCTCAACCAAACATATCTTAAGGACTATAATCCAAAAGAACGAAATCTTTAAAAATTTAGAATTGGCAAAAATATTGCTAAACCAGGTGCGTTGCACGGGTTAAATACTAGTTATTCAAATAAGCAAGTGAAGCCACCCACAGTTTGAGTGTGGGGTAATTTACCTAAATAAGACTAAAACATAATGCCTTTTTCAATATAAAACTATATGTTTTTATTTTTAAATGTAGTACCATTGGTCATTATCTATTAGTCATTATTCAATTAAATGTCCAGTATCACTCTGACATTATTCTTGTCACTAGTCATTATGAAGTCCTATTTAGAAATTGTATTGGGAATGATATGTTTTAGTCTTTCCAAATTTCACTTGAGCCCGCGGTTGAGGAATTTCCCGCGGCTCAATTTATCTGTAGCCATTCTGAGCACGCGAAGTGATAAGCTAGATTGCAGATAAGGGTTTTGGTTGCCGGTCAGGTTAGTAGAATTCATTAAGTGGCGCTATTATGCTATTGATTGGATTAACATGCTATGGATTCATGCCCCTTACAATTAAATTCGTTTCAATTGATTTGCATTTCTTTGAATGAAGCAGTGGGAATGTTTTCTAGCATAGTCGAGTCTTTCAGCGTGTTTTTTCAGTATTTGGGCGCTGTATATTTCGGTGGAATGGTCATTAGAGGTTGGCGGGGCTTTTAGACTATTGTGTGGGGTTTAAGTGCTGACTGCTATGGCTTGGTCGAAACAAGGTCGGAGTGGAGAGGACAACTTTGTTCCACTCCAAAGAACAAAGAACAATAGAGGGGGTTATTTTGGTACCGAGATGGTATTGATTGATGTGGAGGTAGTAGTAAGTAATTGGGTTCATTTTGGGTCTATTTTGTTTGATGCATTAGGGTTCTTATATCCATGCTAGTAGCATCAAAGGGAATTTTGCACATTTGTTTCAAGGCATGTTTGTTAAAGATGGTATCTATTACATCAAGAATTTTGGGGTGGTTGACAACCAAAGCCATTATAGAGTAGTTACTTAGGGGTGTTTGAAAATCCCAAAACATCATTTTTATTTACTTGATATTGATAAGGTTGCCATTCCTTGAAATAACCTCTCTACCCTTAGTAGGGGTAAGGTCTACGTACACACATCCTCTCCCGACCCTCTGTGGGTCTATTGGGTTGTTGTTGTTGTTGTTTTTTAATTGTTTTTGCTGATAAGTTTGCTCTTAGGATTGGCTAGGACTACATCCCCACATGTTTTATAATAATGGAGTCTATCTTTTCAATGGTTTAGGGTGTTTCAGTGGTTTTAATTTGGTAGTTGCTGATGTTTAATTGATATGTTTTTGTTTTGGTATATGTTGTGATCCAAGTATTCAGCAAGGGAGATGTCACAAATAAGATTGTTAATGGCTAAATAGTGAGATGCCTCATCCTAGAGTTGCAGGATTCGAGGTTTGGTTATGTGTTTTTTTGTGTGTAGGTATATATTTTAAAGTTTAATGTGTTTTCCGCGACAATAAGAATTAATGGTTTGTTTTGTTCATCTTTTTGCTGAAAAAACACTTGACCAAAGTGTTTAGAATTAAAGTTTAATGCTCCATTGCTGATTCGTATGACCCATAGATGCCAGGAGTGAAGTGACAACAAATTTTCAATTTTTTATATTATTATTGAAAACAACCTATAAAAAAAGGAGTTGATTCCAACAGTTCTCAATATATGAGGTTTAATATTAAACTTTTTTTTATTACTGAAAACAAAATAAATAGAGATGAGTTGGTTCTAACAGTTTTCTATTCATTTGATGGATTTGAAGTTTTGTTTTTTATTATTACAAAAAAAAAGACAAAATAAACAGTTCCTTTTCAAATTGCTTTTATTATTTGAAACAATATACATGGACATAAGCTGTTTTCAATAATAAGTCATGACAGTTTGGACATAGTTAGATGTTAAACACTAATATGATTGCAATAATAAGTTTATCCAACTTCACACCGGGCCATATTAGATGCTTTTTTGAGTTTTAAATACTCCGTAACATTTTATGTATTTCTATGTTTAGTGCTGCAAAATTAAGGCTCACCCTTTTGGACAAGAGTGTTGATGAGTATATTATCCAGAAGTCTACAATTAGGGGTTGTGTGATCGTGGGAGTATTCACTTTGAATTTGGTGAAACAGTATATGAGTAAGTGGTTTTGTGATAGTCACACGTGTGTGGACGTCTTCATGGACGCTTAGTTGTTTATTGGTTGATGCGGTAATAAGTTGACAGATGGCTATTGGTATTATTTATAATGAAAAGGTGAGTAATGAAATCTGGTTCGTGGTGGGCAAAACAGGGCAGAATATAGCCTGTTCTGTCACGTTTTTCATACTAATTGGCATATTTTTTATGATCGATATGAACACCCCCAACTGAATCATCTAAAATGTAAATTGGCTTGCGCTCCAAGGTAACACTACCTACTGACAATTTGCGGTGCACTATGCGATTCCAACATCATCATAGCACTTACTGTGGAGAGTCCTGTCATGGATACAACCACAGTCATGTCTCATTTAGAAACCATTGGGGCATTGTTGTCAAGTCGTCGCCTAGTCGACGAATGGCGACTTGCACGTCGACTAGTGTAGAATAGGCGACTGGGTTAAGTGGCGAATAGGCGCGCCTAGGCAATGACTAGTCTGTGAAGAACACCTCTTCAGTCTGAACCATTGTTGTCAAGTCGTCGCCTAGTCGACGACTAGTTTCTGAATGGCGACTTGCACGTCGACTAGCGACTAGTGTAGACTAGGCGACTGGGGGAGTTAAGCGGCGAATAGGCGCGCCTAGGCAATGACTAGTCTGTGAAGAAAACCTGCCCAGTCTGAAGTATTGGGGTGATTTTGAGTATTGCAACACGTGGCTTTGAAGATGTAGGTGCAAAATAGATAAATTTTAAGATTATTCTAAATTATTTTTTTGTTACACAACAATGTGAGACGGCGGGATGCTGACGCCCCTGTACGGAGATGCGAGAGAATTACAGTTATTGGGGGAAGTAGGGGAAGGGGTAGACCTAAGAAGAATTGGGAGGAGGTGATAAGACAGGATTTAGGACTTCTCGACCTGACTGAGGATATGGCCCTAGATAGGAACCTTTGGAGAACTAGGATTAGAGTAGCTGGATAGAAGCTCGGTGTTGTAGAGGTTGTTTTGTAGTGTGTTGTATTTGTTGGGAATCTTTTGCTATTGTTTGT